CGTAGACTGAATCCAAGAAATAAATAGATATGGTAAACCCAAAGCATATAACCTCCTCACAATAAACTCCCAGGAGACTCTTGTTTGAAGACATTTTTTAGTACCTTGGTCCCTGATGCGGAATGAAGAGGATTCTCTATAGTCTCAAAATTACCTCAGAATGGGTAGAAATCTTCTTAAGTACTTCAAAAGGCTATCTACCAAGTTTCATCGCAATTAGATATGTCTAAGGTAGTGCAAACAAAGAAATAATTTCGAAAAATCAACCTCTAGTAACTTAAAACGGACCTCGTAACTAGAACTATATTTTTGATATGTCAAACAGCTGTGGGACCACCACTATTGGATCTGGCATAGTAAAAAAACCCTATGGATCAAGTTTTGATTTAATCGGGCTCTCGAAGACAAAGTTATGGGAAAAATACCTAAAAGAGGTAAGCCACACACTATTCCCGTGTGGCTTTCTTGGACCAAAGCACCATTAAAGGTGATTATTTTTGCAATCTTGGGCAGTGACTTTTAGGGTTCATATCTCATTCGTCCCAAACCGGATCTCTTTTAAATTTTATGAGCGTGTTCGTCTCGTCAAGACGAGCGTTTCGATATGTGGCACGCCCCGTGATGAAGTTCGAACGGGGAGAAAAGTTAGAGAGAAATTGCCGATTCGTGAATAAAATTACAGGAAAATCAACAGTAACATGCCTCTCTCGAGTAGCCAAATCACGACGCTCACGTATCGGATTAACATGATACCAATTCCATCGTGTGCATAAGGTCCAGGGCTACTATTGGTTTGAACTTTGTACATGATGAACGGTCAGATTTTACATACGAAGCCAATGAAGTGACTATAAATTCCGACACTGAAATTTGGACTCCAGCCAAAACTCTAAAGTTACGAAACTCATCTTCGGCCGCTTGTGAAATCTTTGTATCCAACGCCGTCTGTGAAACAAACCCATCGCGGTGTGTGTAAACAAAAACCCAACGCCGTGTGTGTAAAGTAAAAACCCAACGCCGTCTGTGTAGACAAAACCCTATCGCCGTGTGCCTCTCTCCATACCACAGCCGAGCCCTTTCCCATCTTCGTTGTTGTATCCCTCACTCTTACCTCCCAATCTCTCTTTTCCATAACTCGCAACCATCTCCCCACTCGATTAAACCTTCACCTTGGCGGCACCCACCTCTGCCCCTGCTCTTCTCTTCTACATTTCCACCAACTGCAACTACCAGCAGCGTGCCACACCTTCTCCATCTCAGTCCCTGTCCTCCATCTCTCTCGGCAGCCTGCTACACTCTCTCCGCCTCTTTCTTCCTCAATCACCACCACTGGCAACTCCCTCATCTCTATCTTCGCCACTTCCTGTCACTGCCACCCTTCTTTCTCCCCATCTCCTTCGCTGTGGTCAGTTTTCGCTAACCTGCGACCATCACCACCAGCCTCTCTCCTCTCTTCTCAGCTGCTCACCTGCCTCCATCTTTGCTCCAACCATCTCCGCTCCTCTTCTCTCGCCACCAACCACCTTCGTTTCTCCCTCAACAGTAACCATTACCTGCAGGCAACTTTCCATCATCTTCTCCACCCATTCTCTTCTTCCAATCAGCAACCTCCTACGATCTCAGCATACTCAATCATCGCTGCCAATTTTCCATCCCCCTTCTCTTCCCGCTTGCTCACTTGCTGCTCCCTTCTTCACTCGCTGTTCTCCGCTCTCTCGTGGTTTCATCTGCGCAACTTCCACCTTCTCTCTCTAGAACCTCTCGTTTTCTCATGCTTTCGTACCTCACGCTCAACCCATTCATTTAAAAACCCAATAACCCAATGCTCTTCTCCCTTTCTCTCTTATCCAAATAAACCCCCTTCTCTTTTAATCAAATAGTTTCATTTTTTTTATACTGTCTCCCATCCACATATACCCCGACATCTCTCCCACTCCCTTAAAGTCAAACCTTTTCTTTGTTTTATTTTACTTTACCTTACCTTCCTCTACATGTCAAATATACCCTATTTTATTTCCCCTGACCTTTATCCATATATCCAACTCTCACTCCTCCTCTTACAATAAAAGAATTCCAATGTATAGCCCTCTCTCATTCTTAACCAAAAGCACTACCCATTTCTTTATAATACTTAACCGTCCTTTATGCACTTCAAGCCCCACAAAAAAAATTTCTTTTCTTTCTCTCACTCAACTAACGTGTCCTTTTTTATGAAGCCATCTTATTTTCTTTTTTTTTTATTTCGTTAGACCATCCCATGTTACTTCTTTCACCCCTTCCTTTTTATCTTATTCCGCTCTACTCCATCTTATTTTATTCATAATTTACTTCATTTTATCTTATCTTCTTTTATTATCTCATTCACTTCCCTTACTTTATTTATCTCACTTCACCTCATCTTAGTTTAATTTATTTTTATTTTTTTAAAACATTTTATTTTAATCCATCTCTTTCATTTTCATTTCACCTCATTTTTCATTATCCTTATTTCACCATCACTCTTATTTTCACTTTCGTCTCTTTTTTAGAACCTAGCAAAAGTCGAGCTAGTCTCCATCTCTTCTCTTTCTCATTACTTGTTTGATCAGAGAGCAGGCTGAGCCTCATGCTGTCCTGCCAGTCTTGTCGTCTAGTCGTAATACCGTTGTGTCGGTCTGAGTTACCGTGCCCGTCTTATTGTCACGACAGGCTAGCCATCGTGCCAAGCTGATCGGTGTTGGTTCCATCGTCTAGTACTAATGTCGTTGTGTCAGTCTGAGTTATTGTGTCTGTCTTGTTACCACGCTGGGTCAACACCTATTGGTCTTGCCACTATGCTAGCCTAGCCGCCTGGTCGAACTTCTTCTCTCATTTTCACTTCTTTTATCTCTATATGGCAAAGCAGGGTCCTATGACCCACACCTCTCTTTTTTTTATGTGTGTGTTTACAGGAAAGGAGAAACAGATTAAGGGAGGCGATTGCAAACTAGCCATAGGCCAGGGGGCTTTCCTACGTGATCTAAGAGGGCATCTATGCGAGCCAGTACGAGCGTGTCACGGACCCACGTGAGGTAAGTCCTGCCTCACGACCCTAGATCCTCTCTCACCGATTGGTGCTCCTGCCCACATCTTCTTTATGTGGTTCCCGAGATATCGATCTCAGGTCTCGAGTCTATCTCGAACCTGGAAACATTCCACCAAGTCAACCCGACCCAAAGGGCGAGATCGAGGCACCTAACGCACTCTATCTTATGCACTACTCAGATCAATCTGCATACACATTTTAGGACATGTTGAATTCTTATAACAAAGAGACATAATCTCATTTTCCATTAGAATACGTGACCAAAGACCTCCTTATTCCATGTATGTAAATCAATCCTCAATCCTTTTAGTTTAATCACAAACCTGTACATGACCGTATCCCCAACTCTAATTTGTCATGATGTAGAGACTGTATCCATAAAGCCGGGGTACTTTTCCCACATTGAGAAATATTTAAAGGGCTTTGGTTCGATCGGTCATTTATAAGAAACTATTACCATTATCAAACAACGATCAGAGTTGCCTTTGGGAAGAAGCTCCACCTTAGATTATGGTAAAGCTAGGACCCAATCAATGGTTGCCATTTCACGATCTAATTTTCTTTTTATGCACCTATTGCTAATCTAATTGTTAGACCAAGAAAACCATCCCCTAACAACCTCTAGGTCAGATAAAGCACAATCTGTTATGACTTGGGCAAAAGTCACTTGTGTCTAATGGTAAAGAGTTGCCCCCTCGCATTTTTTCTGAGTTGTATAATAATGTATCGAAATCCTCTATCAATAATCAAGGCTCTGAAATAGCTGCCTCTATAATCTTTATATGATTCCACAACAAAACTATCTGAGATACTGAGTTAAAGGCATATACCCCCAAAATTATAGACACACAACCATTGCAAATTTTAGTGGCTTCCACTGTTAACATTTAATCATTTGCATCCAACACATTAACTGAATATATCAATTAATTCCTTAACATCGTAATTTTGGATTTGTCATTAACTTAATTTGCTATGAAGTTATTGTAAACCCCCATTTTTTTACCACACTTAATTCTACTTTACAGGCAACTTGGTCTCTAAGAAATAAAATACCAATATTCTACTGGGTTATGAGAGTTACAATATCATAAATTTTACGCAGGCCTCGAAAGCCCCTTACATTCCAAGCAAAAAAAAAAAACTTTAATATTTAAAGTGCTCCAACCTTTAGTACGAACAAGACCTGCCTTATGAGTTTTATTATTATTAATTTTTTAGCCATAATAGGGAGAGCGACTTCTCTCTCTCTTTCTTAAAATTTCTATTTTTTTCTCTCTCTTAAAATTTCTATCTATTACTTGAAGCCAAATACATGTAATTATAGTCTTTCTCTCTAAACAGGACGTTTATTTCTATTTTCTTTTAATTATTTTACATTCAATTTTATTTTATTTTATTTTTTATTTTTGTTTTATTGTTCATACAATTTCATGAAAGCATGTACCGACCTTTTAGAGAATGTAATTAGAATAAATGTCATTGAGATGGTGTCTTTAAGGCTTATGGTGCTTTTCTCTCTCTCAATAATACAATATGCAATTATTTAATATTTAATATCATATGTAATGCACATGCATAACATTAGTAGTACCTCTAATTATGGCTTATTAATATACTATAGTGTAAATAAGAAAATGATGAAATTAACGACTAATCAACCACATGCAGTAAATGTCGCAGACCACAAAACATCACGTCATCAACATGCATTCATGAGCCCCAAAGAGTTAAAGGTTCGCTTCACATAAAATTGAGAAACGCTCACCAAAAAAAGGACCTAAAAAAATAGTATGAACCCTTTATTACGGTATCATGACAGATATGAACAGTAGTCATCAATGACAATATAAATCTATACAAGCAGAATGGTTCAAAATGAAAATTATGCCAAAAACAGATTAAACAAATTATTTTGAAACACAATTCCAAAAAAGAAATAAAAGGTCCTTAATCCTTTTATTGGTGTACCATATATTGGTGATATCTTTCATAAACAATGTTGTGCACCATATATTGGTGATATCTGAATCATGAATGTTACACTGTTGCGATTTTGTGACTATGATGACGATGAACTCTTGATTCTGAGGTCTAAGTCACACTCATCGGATCCTAGTCCTATGCCAAATGCTGACGATGACGAAAAAGATGACAAGAATGGCTTCAAAGATTCATTAGAGACTTCTTCATTTGAAATGCTTTCCTGCCCATACTGCAAATCCACACAAAGTTACATGTCATATATTGGTTCCATTGAAGCATTTGGATACTACGGGTAAACTCTGGCAAAGGCTAAATTCTTCCTCGCCATGAATGTGTGTGTAAATTTAGGGGAATATAAATATGTCCAACCGGTATGACCAACTTCTTGTTTAGGGACAATTGTCTATGATAAAGTTATTTTTATCATGATTAACACTAACGGTGATAATCATCATCATCACCCGTGCTTTATCTAACCTCTTTAGAGTAGGCTGTTAATATTAATAATAATTTCAATTAATATCCCATTAAAATCATCCGTTTATATTCTATGCCATTGAATAGGGGCTCAACTCAGCTAGAGGACTCCCTCATTGGGCGATGCAAGTTACACGGTTGAGCAACAAAACCCCCAAAATAGTTTTACAAAAATTAAGAAATTTTGAAAAATAAAAAATTTATTAATAGTGAATTGGAACCTAAAACATCTTTAAAAAGTTAAAACAATGGTAAAAAAAAGTATAGAAACCATAAATTTAAAACGATCCAATTTACAGTTTAGGATACTTTAAGATACTTTAAATATACAGAAAAATAAAATAATAAAAACATGGTTATGACAAAAAAATACTTACTAATCCTGGATAAATGAATCTAGATCCTGCAAAAAAAATTTGTATAAAATATCTTTATTTTTCTATAACCGAATTAATTGAAAATAAGCTAAGATGATGATGATGATCTTTATTTTTCTATAGCGAACCCCAAATGATGATCTTTTTCTTGAAATTTTTAATACCCCAAGTTGAGGATGCTCGGCCTCCTCTAAGGACAAATAACTCGGAGTGGACTCGGCAAAGTCCGAGTACAGCGTTCTAAGCTTTCTGCATCACAAAACCTATAAAAGACGTTCTATAGAACTGCACGCGTGTGATCTTAAAGCGAAATTTGCAACTAGTGTTGGTAAAGAACCATGTAACAACTTACCTATAAATAGTTTTAAAATATTAATAAGGAATCTGGGGTGCAAGTTACAACAAAATAATCATAGATGTGTAAGTTAAAGATACTAAAATGGAAGGTGGTTTTCCCCATTTGAAATTTGGTATAAATTAGAAACTATTTGTCAGCTTTACCATGTTTAAAATTTACAACCTCTTTTGTACACTTAATTTCAATCATTCAAATCTAATTTTACTAATCTCTGTAAATCGTTAGTATATTAAAAGCTCGATAAATTATAGAATAAATTTTTCTTTGAAAAAGTTTATACAGAGCCGAGGCTCTAAACAATTAAATAAACTCCGCCTCAAAAATTTCACTAGAAAAGGTTGTTTCCTGCCCGAATATCATCAAATTGATCATCTCGACATCAAGATGCATGGACATGAGAAAAAAAATAGATTTGAAGGTTTGGAAATTGTGCATCTTGTAACGCATTTTTAGACAATCAATTTTCAAGATTTTCAAGTTTTAATAGATCTGTTCAATCTACACTATTTTTTATGCTTTAAAATTCATAATTAAATATGAAAAACTATTTTAAGGCTATCACAAAGATTTCTAATATTGAAACTACATTTCTCAATACTATTTGAAGGTGCGCTTTACTTTGATTGTTTAAAGCCTTGGCTCTATACAAACCACACCCTTATTTTTTTTGTTACAAAAATGTCACACTTATCATCGACCATTAGATTTGCAATCACACTAGTAGGGACGTGTCATTGACGTGTCATTAAAGTGATTAATATCTTTCTTATACCAAATATTAATAGTTTATAATATACAATCCAATAACTTCCCCCTACATAAACGTTTATATAAGAGCACCTCAAAAATTCATTAAAAGAGGTTGTTGCGATGGTGAAAAAACCTTCAATATGATCATTTCAACCTCAAAATGTATGGACATAATAATGATAATAAAAAGTTTTCAAGTATTGAAAATAGTGCATCTTATAATGTATTATCAAGACTGTCAATTTTCAAGATTTTCAAGTGTACATAGATTTGCTCAATCAATATTATTTTTGAACTTTAAAATTTATTATTGGAGATAAAAATAAGTTTTCAGGTCATCATAAAGATTTATAATATTAAATGATATTTTAGCACTATTAAAAAATACACCTTATTTTGATTGTTCAGAACCTCAGCCTTATACTAACCACACTCATAACTAAAACAAAATTCAAGTGCCAACTTAAACCATTCTTACCTTTGCTTTTTCCGATGAAGGTGAGTGGGAGAGAGGAGGAGGTGGTGGCAAAATGAATGGTTTCTCACTAAAACAAAATTCAAGTGCCAACTTAAACCATTCTTACCTTTGCTTCTTCCGATGATGGTGAGTGGGAGAGAGGAGGAGGAGGTGGTAAAATGAATGGTTTCTCAATGGAATCAGCCTCTGCCTTCCGCTTCTTGACCCCCATGGCATCATAAAACGTGTGTTCCTGCATCAATATATTACAATAAAGGAAAATTTATCAAAATAAACTAAGAGAAACATTTTAGTACCTATATCTTTTAATCTAATTTCAAATACTTAGAAAAATGCACGTCATATTGATTGACTTATTAGGGATAAATTTGGGGACAAATAAAGTTTTCATCGAATTCAATTTCATTGGCACAAGGGATATAAACCCTAAAACGAATATCAATTTTTTTTTTGACAATGATCTATATGAACATAGAAAATCTGCGATCATAGGTACCTATAACCATCCAATCTACTCGTGGATGGACGATGATGGAAGAGGGGACCCACCAGTGGTCCTGCTCTCAATCCAAGGCGATCCATCCATTCATTGAACGGTTACGTTATTCAAAGCAATCAATTTTCCATAGTCATGCGGAGTATAACAATGTACAACTTATCATGAATAAAGGAAAATTACGTCTTTGACCGTCATTATGTGATGGTCCAAAATATACAATATTTATACAGAGGTCATTGCCTCCATAATTTTTCATTTTTTTTTTCCAAGTTTGGCTTCTGTTTAATGTTTTAAATATAGGGCCGCATATTAAATTTATTTAATTTTATTTTATGACCACTTTAAACATTCAAAATTTGAAGTCTAAACTCAATTCGATCTTAGAAATATCGAACCATCTTAAACCTTCAAAATTTGATGTTCGGGCTGCATTAAATATTAAAAAAAAATTCAAAAATTAAAAGGACAATTGATGTTACAAAGTGGTCCGATTTAATCATTGGATCGGGGGGTAAATTTGTTAAAATATAAAAAAATTTGAAGGGTTAAAAACACCAGTACGGACATAAATATCCCAAACGAATAATCCATCCTTACCGCCCTGGTTCCGCAATCAGCATGGCGGCCATCGTTTTCCGTCTTCCATCCGCGCGAATAACGGCCCGAAATTTCGTTTGTCATTCGACTTGTGTTTATCGCAACGAAACTATCGCTAGGGCCGCAATTCAATGAACGATTCCGTTTTGTAGCTTGTCTCTGCGTGCCATTGAGACGGAAAACCAGAGAGAGAATGAGAGAGAGAGGTGAAAAGGGGCAAAAGAAACTGCATGTAGAGAGAGAGAGAGTACTGCGAAGTTGCAGAGCCTTATTGTTTCCTCAGTTAGGGGAAAGGGAGGGTGAAAAATTACACCAAGAGGGTGCACGTCGCCATTGCAACTGTTTAAAGTCGTTTTCTCACTGGTTTCTTGTCTTTTGCTCATCGTTGCGAAGTTGCAGAGTCTTCTTGTTTGCTTAGTTAGGTGAAAAGAAGGGTGAAAAATGGCAACAAAAGCATGCTCGTCGCCATTGCAATTATTTAGAGTCATTGCATCCTCAGTAGTTTCTTCTCTCGTGCTCATCATCTCGTCTGAATCGATCTCCATGAAATCATTGGAGGGTTTGTCCTGAGAAATAGCCACAGCAAATGAACTTGGAGTTTCTTGCAAGAATTTGAATCCAGAGAGAGAGAAAAAGAGAGATATGGGTACCATGTCCACAGGGCTAGGAGTTTTCTTTCCAATATGTACCAATCTTGGACACTTCCTGCAAAAACACTGAAAATTAGACACCAAACTTTCTGACTTAAATACTCTTTCAATTGAAAGACACCGCCTGAAACTCTGTAGCAGATTGATGGATTTTTTCTAAAAAACTTTAGCTTTTATTAAGCTTAATACCTAAAGTTGTGGTTTATGAACCATCCATTACTAATCAAGAGTTTGGGGAGACGTTTAAAGAAAAGAGAGTAGAAAGCAAAAGCAATGGATGTAGAGGAAAGAGGAGAGAGTAAAGAAGGGGGATGGTGTTACCAAGTCACCAAAGAAATCAAAGAATGGTAGTCTACTCCCTGTCCCACGAGAATCGCCTGATTCAATCTCTTCCATCCTCTCTCTTCAGTAAACAAGCGAAACACAACAGAAGAGAGAGAGAGGAGAAAGAAAGGGTGAGTGGAGGAAAGAGAAGAAGGAAATAAGTGGTGAACCAGAAGCGGAGAGAAAGTCATGGAAGAGAGGAGAGTATCAGAGATGGAAGAAAAGAGAAGAGAAGCTTCAAATAAATAGGCAGGAGATTGTGCGGAAACCTTGAAGGGGGTATAATACACCGATTTGTTGGGCGGGGGAGAGAGAAAGAGAAAGTAATAGAACCTCTTTGTTAGGGCAAAATTAGTGAGATCATTATTTCCCATTAATATTTCCTTAGAGGCCGTTTAGATACATGGAAACATATATTTTTGTTAAATATATAACTCGCGTAATACATTAATGTGTAATATATTATCTGCAAATGGATTGTTACAAAGAAATATGGGAAATGCATTAACAACCAAATATGAAAAATATGGCTATGTTTGTCTAACATGATTAGATTTTGCTTTCAACATGATAAGTCATTGGAATAATATGATTAGAATAACATGATTTTAGTATGATAAGCCTTATTTTTATTTATTTTTTATAGAAGTCTTTCAAATGTCTCTCTATATATAATTTCAAATAAGCAATAAATTTATTATACCAAAATCAAAATCTTTATAGTATAAGTTAAAAAATGGGAAGAAGTTTGATTAGAGATGGTTTGGAAGTTTGATCAATAAACTAGAAGGTTTGATAATTGCAGTAAAAAAATTTGAAGCATGGGTGGAGCCTAAAGAGATATCTTATTTCAATTGAGTTTTTACTAATCTCTTATGATGATTATGTTGTGTGAAATTTTTTATTATAATTGTGTTGTGTAATTTTTTATTAGTTTTATTTTTATATGAGCTGATGGCTTCAAATGAGGTACGATGCCCTTCAAATTTTATCATGGTATATAATTTTGCTCTAAAATATTATTAGGACTATCTCAAAATCTATTTTTAGATCTAATTATAAAATTTTAAATTTCAAAAATTGTTAAAATCAAGTAGATCTATAAACATATGAAAATCTTGAAAATAGGCGGTGTATATAATATGTTGTAAAATGCACTATTCTTGAGACTTAAAATCTTTTTATTTTTCAGTCATACATCTCGATGTTGAGATGATCAATCAAAGGGTTTTTCAACTTTAATACTATTTTTTCTGATGGATTTTTTACGGGCATCCGTAGTTCTACATTATAAGGCAGCATCCTTATATAAACTTTTTCCGTTTAAAAATAGGAAAAATTACATATATATCCATTATATTTGTTGTTATTACAAAAGTACCTTTTAATTTATGTTATTACAAATATATATGTTTTTTAAACTTCGTAACACTTTTTTTAAAAATATATTTTTAATTATTCAAAAACCGAAATTTAAGAAATTTCGAATTTTGAAAAACCGAATTTCACTGTTTGTGATCTTGGCCAAGTTAATTGGCCTCGGCCTATGTACCGACTTTTTATCAATATTATATAGCTTAAATATTTCAATTTGGGGATAAATTGGCTTTTTGGTTATCATGCATGCCTCTACACTTTCATGTCAAGGGTTTGAGTCCCCGCCATATGCAATCTAATTTTTTCAATAAAAAATTGATTTTTTTTATTTTATTAAAAAATCACAAAATGAAACCCGATCATGGAACATGTGGGATTTGATGTTTTTATTTTATTGAACAAGCACAAAAAAAAAAACCATCATGGAACAGGCGGGATTTGATATGCAATCTAACTTTTTTCAATAAAAATGGATGTTTTTTATTTTACTAAAAAAGCACAATAAAAACTCCATCATGGAACATGTGGGATTGGATATCCCAAACCTCTTAAAGAGGCCCGTATGCTTTTACCCAGTGGTTTAAAAAATGGATCGGTGCCCCGGATCGGGCACCCCCAAAACCCATCCAGATCAGTGAATCGGCAATTCAGATCAAGAAACGGCTGAATCGGTCAGATTTAGCCTTAAAAAAAAGATCCAAAAAAATTATTAAACTTCATTATAAATGTTGTTTTTTAGGAATCCAACAAGAAATGGGGGTACTCCATTAAGAACTTTCACTTTTTTTCATCAATATGCGAATATTAAGATGTTATTTCCCTGCATGAACTACTATTAACTTACATCACACAAAAGGAGAAGCATAGATTTATCATGGATAAAGTATATCATCATCCATGGACTACAATAAAGCATACAATTCATAAAATATGACCTAATAATAAAATGAAAGACGATATCATTCTTAATCTTGGTCACATTAGTGTCATTGATTAAATTCGTGTGTCAATCATTGACTCGATCTAAGAACGAATCATCCAAATTAGTGGGCACCTGACTATACCAAAATCTTTGAGTGTTAGTGTTTTATTGTGCTCCTAATCCAACATCCTCCAAGCAGGTCCATCCTTCATGCTCACCTACACTGTCGTGCTTGTCCCTAACCTCTTGTTGTTGGGACTTGGTATGTGAATAATTTGGTTAGGATAGGGTGACCTCAAAATCATCATCTCTCTCATTTTCCCTTATACTCCCTTCTCACTCTCCCTCATTAGGTGTAATACCACTGACATCTCCGACGAATTGTGGATATATTAATAGGCTGCTTCCTCTTTCACGCTGTTCATCAACTTCTTTAAGATCTTCCTCATCAATAGCCTCAAGGAACACTCTCTTGTACAACACTGACTCATCTTCCTCTACTGCCCATTCTTCTATTGTGTCTGTGATAAATATTGTGTCCAAGTCTATCGGCACGTAGTCTTTATGCTTCCTTCTTATTTGTCATTCTCGGAAGTTTAAGTTGTAATGAATGTAGACTAAAAGTAGCAGAACATGTCTGGGAGAGCACCTTGATTGCTACCCTCCTTAGGGGAGGTACGTCACTATCATATATCTCCCACCATTCAGTTGAATTAAAATGCAAAAAGCATTGTAAGAGCAAGAACAATTTATAAGATTAAAGATATGAAAGAACAAAATATTAGTTAGGGGTTAACCTGGATCCATCTCAGCTCAAGAATTCCTGGCAAGTCAAGTTCCGTAGGATCCTACAACATCCCTATACATAGAAAGCTAAACAAAATATTTTGTTTTAATGCATTAGTTGTTCCTCACAAATATAACAACTCAATGAAGTTATTACCCAAATATTAAATATTACCTACTGGATTGCCACTACTTGTTTTTGATGGCTTCTCTCCAGCCTGACAATAATGTATCTGACCCCTTCATAATCTTGTGGGGATGTTCAAGTGTCAAATAGAAAACTTTTGGGTTGAAGTAGTAACCTAGAAAATACATAGATAGAGAAATGTCATTTAAATTTTCATTAAAAAAATATTTTAGAATTAAACTGTCCAAGGATATAAATATATATGTACCTGCATAATGAATTGGACGGCCAAATTTGGTGTTCCACCTTCTATCTATAATTTCAATCACTTTACTAGCAAAACTATAGTTCTCCCTAATAGTTGATTTGGCCCTCTCAATACCTTCTTAAAGGATGACCATGGTATCTTTCTTGTCAGCATCCACCATTCTTAACACCGTGACCAAAGGGACAGTGACCTCTACGACACTGGAACACTGAGACCAAAACCTCCTATCTGTGACTATGCCCTCCGCTTTTAGCTCATTTCTGGACTTCGAGAGGCAGTCATTTGACTGCTCTTCGCTGGTAAACAATCTCTTTAATGCAGCTTGGAATTCCGAAATGGAGTCTACATCCCAGTAATCTGCCGCAAAGCATGTTATAGCAGGCCTGATTATCTCTTTTTTCTTAGATTGTTTTTTAAATAAAAATAAGATTTTAGAGTGCTTATATATAAATCTTGACACGAACCTCGCTGCCTCTAGAGTCTCCTTCACAATTTTGATCTCGTTGATCTCCTCTAACATAAGATCAATGTTGTGTGCAGCATACGCTGTCCATACTAGACGCTTCCTCTTATCCATTAACTTCTTACCCGCCGAAACATAAGCACCCACATTGTTCGTAATAAACTGGTATCTCTCACCTCCTCCACTATTTGGTCATATAGTCGTATAAAAAAATTTGCATTCTTCTTTTTCCTTGAGACGCCTTTGCTAGACAAAAAGGCTGTATCTTTTAGAGAATAGGCCAATAAGTTAAGATAATCTTTTTTATTAACTTTATTCAGCCAACCATCACTCATGAGAGTAATGCCTGTTCTTGGTCAACTCTATTTATATTCTTCAATTCACTTCCTAACTTCCTCCACCTCTTTATCCAAGATCGACCCATTAAGCTCATTTGTGGTCGGGGGACTTTGCCCCAGGTTCGACTCTTTGGATCGCATTGACCATAGGCGGGAAATATGGGCTATGGTTGCATCAAAGGGTATCCCTTTATCGTAGAACCATTTACCAACATATCTGCCCTATATGTTCCTTGTATCTTTCACCATGCTTTTGAGGGTCATCTGTAGTGACTTGGGCTTTGAGAGAAATGAGTCTATACAACCATGACTTGCAATATTGGTGCTTCTAGATAAGTCAGGAACAATTTCTTCAACGTCTGGTGTCTCTGGATATATATTGCCACCAATCCCTCCATACATATTCGAGCTGGGCCTGCCATACATGCTCGAGCTGCGCCCGTCATGCATGCTCGAGCTGCGCCCGCCATTCATGCTTGAGCTGGGCCCATCATGCATGCTTGGGCTGGGCCCACTATGCATGCCCATGTCATAACCACCAGGCATTCTAAACCCACTTTCTATATGGTATGTTTCATACAAGCTCATTCTTGTGGCTCTCTCCAAGTCAATGTTATGTTGCTCTTCTGGATCAATACCCCTTGATGGCGTATATAAGTCAGCTATCTCCTCATCCCTCCTCTGCTTTGCTACTTTTGTACCTTTGGTATCCTTGAGAATCACCACCATCTATTTTCTTACATTGCTAGGGACACCATTGTACGCAGAAACATATCCCTTAACCCATGTCAAGTGTTGCTTGAACCTATGTACCCCACTACTTATCACTTTTTTGCATTAATTACAATTAATTTTATTTTTTTATTGGGATCAAGTCTGACCCCATGTTGCCATGCAGGGTCTTCCCTGAATCTTGTCATGGTTCAACTGTTTTAATACGTAAATGGTTAAAAATGAACCTGACAATTGAACATGAAGAATAATCACTATGTATTGTGATAATGTGTAGGGGTAGTACATGAAGTTATCTTTGTTGTTCATGCAAAATACTTTTACTGACAAAAATATTTTAGTTCCTATTGGCAAAAATATTTTATTTATGCAACATTATAGATAAAAATAGTCTATATCAGCCACTACATATAGACAAAAAAATTTACAATGATATAGTATCAATAAAAAATATATTTACAGTAGTATAGTCATTCACAATGCCAGTACATATAGACTCGTTACAAATCTTC